CATGCATGCATCCATGCATGTATGTAACTGTATGCCGGTACAGTATGTCGGTATTCTGGTATCTGTAGGGTGCAAAACCTTGCAGAAGAGCTAGTGCTCAAGCTTAAGTGCCAGATCCATCCACGTTTCCCCACGTGGTCCTGGCGACAGTAGGTGCCCAGCCCTCACCTCACCATCCGCCACCGAGATATGGCTCGTAGTACAAGCCTGGCAATGCAGGGGCACTGTTGATGAAAGTCTGTATCAACCGGTGTCTGCATGGAACGGGCACCCATACCCAAGATGGTAATGAGTCCAATGGAATCCACTACAAAGACCGTCGATAGTGTTGACGGCGACTGCTTGTAGGGTTCCAACTTTCGGCAAATGAAGTCACCGGAGGAAGTATTTCTGGGCATGTTTGCCGCTGGCATCAGGTCATTGGCTAGCTTCACTTAGCAACCCCAAAGCCTGAACCCACCCAAGCCCAAATCCCACCAAACCCCAAATCTCCAAACATGGAGCCCCAAGATAAAGCCAGGCAGCTGCAGGCCAGTGCTAGCGACGAGACCTCAAGCCAAGGATTCTATGAGGGTGCGATTAAGGCTGTAAGGGTCTGATACAGGTTTTAGGGCGCCAGAGTACTACATAAAAGTAGGCCTCCAGGGGTAGATTACAATCATGCTGCGGATCATGCTTGTAACCAGGGACAGGAAGTGATTCCTCTGAATTCTACCAATTACCTATTTCGAAGGGATACTATTGACAAATGTTCAGACCTCTATATTCGGCCTGAAACAAAAGTCTACAGCTGAATGTCCGAAAACCTACAGTCTAACTTTACGGTTAGGCTGAGGATGTTCTAGGGTTACTGAAGGACCAACAACATCCCACTCTTCCACGATAAGGGTTTGTGGCTTAGGTTCTGAAGGCTTCCTATGATACCGGGGTAAGCTGGGGATTCTTAGTTCAAGGCCCAGGACAGCTAGTAGGAGTTCGCGGGCTCCGGTTTTGGGCTTTGCGTTCGCGTAGAGGATCATGGGACTGAGTCACTAGAGCTATAAATAAGGGACCTGAACTTAAATTACAGTTCAAAGATCATGAAGTAAGGTGCTGGTAACCTTACTTTCTAGCCAAAATAGTGTAGGTAATTATTCTAGGCCCTTTAATCACCGAAAAGGGAATACTGTTTAAAGCCGCATTAGGTCCTTTGTCAGGGCCGTTAAAGCCCCCAACCCCCCCTGCCCCCCTACCCCCCAGCTGAGTCTTGTGACTATAGGAGTCTCGAGGCTGCGGCCCCGAGCATCTTCCCCACAGACTTGGACCAAGTACCTGTACAAAATAGCTAGACTTCAGGGCTTTTAGAGTTTGGGATAAGGGTTTAGGATTATTTGAAGTGTGTTTAGGGTTTTAGGATGTTTTAGTGTGCTTAGGGTCTTCGAGTTCCGACCCCAAGCCTTCAAGCTTTTCGTTGCTCTTCTTGGCGGCTTTGGGGTTTACGGTCTAGGGCTCAGATATTGAAGTAGGATAACTTTGGCACTCCCCGGCCTGGAAAATGAAAGGAGGAAGGGTTTCTGCGATTTGGGGTTATAGGGCTTCTAGGGCTTTTACGGCTACCTGTATGGGCCCCGGATGTTGCTGTTGTTGTAGGATGATTCAGGAGCATACAAGTAGAGGAGTCATGGGAACTACCCGGGCTCCTTCAGCAACGTCTCTGGTTCGGCCAAGGATTTCGACCCGCAGCCCTGACCCCAAAGCAGCGCTTCTTTGACTTGGCTTAGGGAATGGTCCCAGCATGCACAGGTTTCGGCAAAATCGTTTCCAAACCCTACGCCTCAGAATCGACGGTGCAGTCCACCGTGGCAGCCAATCCCATCACTCTTCTCGGGACAAGCCCGCACCCTAAGCCTGGAACCTCCACACCGAGACATGGAAAGCTTCGAACCCTTTCAGATGTGTCAGAGACGTGTGGATGAAGCTGTGGATTTCTTTGGATTGCTTGGCGGCGAAATTGTCTCCTGAAGTACAGTAACCAAGGCGGAAAATGCACGATCTCGTGTTGCCAAACAGTCAGTGGGAGGATCGCACCACGAGATCGAAGCAGTTCTTCGGCAGCAGATCCTCCCCGCATCAGGGTTCGGAGTAAGCCCTGAAGCCCATCATTCGTGCTTGCAGTGGCTTTTCGTTTACAGTAAGAGCTCGCGACTCCGTAATTGGGGATTTGTGGCTCTATCCGATGCGTAAGCAGTGGTCTGCGCGGCGAAGGCATTCGGGGAGAAGTACCCAACACCAACCTCATACAAACTACACTGATGATCTTCGTAAAGGGAGGGCTAAGAAACTTGAAAATGGTTGAAGCCTAGAAAATCGGCTCATGCTCTGAACGTGGATACCGCAGAGCCGATGTCGAGTTTAAGGCTTAGCGCCGACATCCTAAACTCAATGTCGATCTCAGAGATACCCATGCTGACATAACATCCACGCATGGGACCAACTCAAGATGCATTGGGTCCTTCCATTTCCAAGAGACGCTGCTCCGCGGCATCTAAGGCCTTCGGATGCGAAGCCCCACTTGGAGGTTCGAGGCTTGGGTTTAACGTTTAGAGGGCCGTTTCGGGTTCCAGCTTTTAGGGTTCAGAGCTGGGGGCAGTTTCGGGCTTCAGGGTTGAAACAGGATTTTGAGTTTTACGGCCGGTTTCGGGTTTGAGGTTTAGGGGGCTGCACAGTTGCACCAGTTGTGCTGGACAAGATCAGGGAAGCCAATCTCAACACACCCGGCGACAGCTACAGTCAAAAGTTCGGCACTGGAGCCTGATGTGCATTTCGGTGGAAAAGCCTGACTAACCAACATCATGAAACAACGGCCGGAAACACGGAAAGAACCCTAAACTCTAAAGCCCTATGGCACTAAGCTCAAAGCTTCTAAACCTCTATAGATTCTTAGAGGAACCGTTAAAAGACCCAAAAAGGCTTGAAAGAGATGCGAGCCTTCTGCAACACTTCGAGCCGGCTCTTGCGGCAGCACGGCGCCCTGGAGTTCTCTTTCTGAAATTGCTACCAACAGTGCTGCTTTGAAGCATTTAGGGTTTTGAGATTTGGGGTTTGTCCTCTAGGGCTCCTTTTTCTGCATAGGAAGTGTTCATTCGCTGTTGTTGCTGCACGGTCTGCGACTCACTGCTACCCGAGTTTGACCAAGACGTAGATGTTGGCCTTCCCACCTCAAACGTGCATCCATGAACATGGATGACAAGCTTGGTGAGTTGGTAGAAGGCTTCAACACCGGTCATACAACAGTGCATCTTGCCCAGGGCGTGAAGGCCTCAGGTGGACTACAACAACACCTATTGACGCTCCGGTGCAGTTGCTTGTGGGATGCTCGAGGCAGCCTTATGTTTGGCACCCAAGGATAACCCTGGACCTCTCCTAAACCCAAACCCGAAGCCCACGAGGGTTTAAGTAAATTCGGAGTTCCAGACTCTCATTCCGCATACCCAGCACGGTGTAGGGTGTGGGGTTTAGGGTTAATTGAGGTTTATCATCTTAAGGTTTAGGTTTGGGGGCCCATGCGCTTAATTATCTTCGCAGCCC